AGATCGTATGGGATGCTTCGTGTGGATCCGATGGTCGCGCTTGCACGGGCCATCGGTGCGGTCGGCCGCCCGGCAAGCTCGTGCCCCTCGACATCAAGCTGCCGCGCGATGTCCATCTCGGCAAGCCGAAGCGCACGCTGAGTGTGCGAAGCGACTCGGTCGACCTCACGGACGCGTGCGAGACGCTCGTCGATGGCGACGACGACTCGAGCGACGAAGGCATCATTACGGCCGAAGAGCTCGACTCGTTCCGGTTTTGTTTTTACTAGACGACTGCGCCACCGGAGTTTTGTGCGATTTTGAACTAAGTTATGGCCATCATAGACATATTCCATGTATAAAGCGGGTGTGACGTCGACGCCGCACGGAAGGCAAATGCATTCTCGTGCATCGCTTCCATCCAGCTGTCGTCTCTTAAACAGACAATACGTCCAACATGTTTACAAAAACTCGAGACAAACTTGTCTGACAGCTCTAGACAACTTGTCCAAACAGAGAGCCTCGTTGATGTCCTGGACGCCGGGTTGGGCCCACCTGGCTGTCGATTGTCCATATAACCTCTTGGCAGCATGGGGACATTGTCGTCACTTGGAGGCCAACGAAGTACTTTCCTGGACGCGGAGGTGGTGCCCGAGAATGTACACTTGCGGCGTTCGTGCGAGCCGAACTGTGGGCGAGCGCTTGAGACATACTAGCAAGCTTGAACCGCTCGCCATCTCGCGCAGCGCTGGGTCGACAAGCTTCTTGGCGAAAGAGCTAATGTAGAGATTTGAGAGAGATCGAGTTGTCGCTGGGCTCGTATCAAGGCTGCAAGAAAACGTCCAACACTCGCTCTCGCAAGACATGAAACAAGGTGCAGAGAGATCGCAGAGAGATTTTATCCGGATAGCAACGTTGCCAGAGTCGAATCTTTGCCAAGATGGTCACGCCACCAACGACGGCGACAACGAACCCCGAGACGATCGCACGTGCTTCTGTCGACCCGGTGGGTGCCATCAACCGAGCGATCGAGGCTCTGGACTGGGATGGCGCGCAGGCCGCCCTTGACGTCATCGATAACGACGGCTTCCGGGTGTGCTCTGCGACCGAGGCCGACTGGGAACGCTACGTCGAGTCGGAAGATCAAGAGATGAAATCCCGCCACTTTGAGTTTAGAGACGACTCGATTTACCTCGTCGAGATGAGCGGTGGTCTTCACCCCGCCATTGCGGGTGGTATCGACGACGCGATCAAGGAGGCCACAAGGCCGAAGGCCACGGGGACGGACCATCGAGTTCTCGAGGGGCATCGCGACGCATACGTCGACACGACCTTCGAACCAGCGGCAAGCAAGCTGCCCAAGCTATCGCCCGACTGCAGCTTCGGTCCCGCGATGGAGACGGACGCCATCTTTCCCGACTGGCCCGACGACCTTCGCTGGAATGAGTTCCATACACTCAAGGTAGAGGTCGGCATCAACGAAGGCTGGCGAAGCATGAACCGCAAGGTCGTCCAGTACTGCCGCTTTCCAGGTCTGCGTTATGTGCTCTGCGTCTTTGTCTCGCCTGACATGGAAGTGCGCCAGTACAAGCTTTTCTCGATCACCAACAACGAGCTTGAAGGACCAGATCCAGCCCTCGTCAACCCGAGTCCGATCACAGTCGACACGCGCGTGCGAATGGACGGACGCCGGCTCTTGGCACTGCCGGACGACACGGCCCTTCCCGGGCGCTTTCCCGCCGAGTTGGTTCTTGAGTTGAACCCGATCCTACGACGCGCGTGGGTCCGGTGTCGGAGCCGTCACAACCGCAACCCGCCTCCGTTCTAGTAAAACTAGCTCGCTTCTCTTTCTCTAACGATTCGAGCCACGATCACGGGTTTTGCTTGCGCTTCCTCCTGCAATGCGGGTATCGTTAGTAGATTCAACCTCATGATTTTCACACGAATCTCGAGCCCTTTGGACGAAGACTGAGGTGACCACAACAACAGTAGGCAGTGCCTAGTGTAGACTCTGTGCCTACTAGGCACAGAGTCTACAATTGGAATTGCGCTCGAAGCCTAGTACTCCCAAGGTCATAAATATTATTGGTATAACTACTCACCAGCAGCGAGCACTGAGCAGCGAGCCACAATAGTGTAGTACTAGAATCGCAGCAAGAAAATATAAATTGTATTTTACCGGATAAAGATCTCCAAAAATCCGGATGCCGGATATTGAGACCAAGGTTGGTCAGTTGCCAACATGGTCGCCGGAGCGTGCTCGACGAAGACGACGACGGGCGCCGAGCCAGCCCCCCGCGCCGACCCAGTGAAGCGCATCAACCAAGCCATCGAGGCTCTGGACTGGGATGACGTGCAGGCTGCCCTCGACATGATCGATAACGACGGCTTTGAGGTCTGCTCTGCGACCGAGGCCGACTGGGACAGCTACGTCGAGTCGGAAGACCAAGCGATGAAGTCGCGCTACTTTGAGTTTCGAAACAATTCGATTTACCTCATCGAGATGAGCGGTGGTCTTCACGGTGACATTGCGGATGGCATCGACGACGCGATCAAGGAGGCCACGAGACCGGAGGCCACGGGGACGGACCATCGAGTCCTCGAGGGGCACCGCGACGCGTACGTCGACACGACCCACGAACCAGCGGCAAGCAAGCTGCCCAAGCTTGTGCCCGACTGCAGCTTCGGTCCCGCGATGGAGACTAACGCCATCTTTCCCGAGTGGCCCAACGACCTTCGCTGGAACGAGTTCCATACGCTCAAGGTCGAGGTCGGCGTCTCCCAAGGTTGGCGAAGTATGGACGCCAAGGTGCTGCGATACTGCGCCTTTCCGGGCATTCGTTACGTGCTCTGCGTCTTTGTCTCGCCTGACATGGAAGTGCGCCAGTACAAGCTTGTCTCGATCACCAACAACGAGCTTGAAGGACCAGATCCAGCCCTCGTCGAGCCGATTCCAATCACAGTCGACACGCGCGTGCGAATGGATGGGCGCCGACTCCTGGCGCTGCCGGACGACACGGCCCTTCCTGGGCGCTTTCCCGCCGAGGTGGCTTTCGATTTGAACCCGATCCTACGACGCGCGTGGATCGGGCGTCGGAGCCGTCACAACCGCAACCCGCCTCCGTTCTAGTAAAACTAGCTTCGCTTCTCTTGTTCTCTAACAAGTCTGGCCACAGCAGTGTTGCATTCGCCCTTTACGATCTCGTGTGCACCTACCCAGTGTTTCCCTTCAACTTGATAGTTTTCACACAAATCTCGCGCCCTTTCGAAACAACGAAGGTGACAATAACAACAGCAGTCTACACCTAATCTGGGCCAAAGCCTAGTACTTCTCCCTCACAGCGAACCCCCATGCATCGCGTAGACGTCTTTGGTAGCGATTAGCATGCCACTGCTAACGATCTCGCTCGGCTAGATGGCTCGTTCCTCCTGGACCGCGAGGTCGACATGGAATCGGATGACAATACTGCATACCAATCGCTCCTTGATCAAGATTGAGCACCAGAAGTCGTCGCATTGTGTGCAAACTAGTTGCGTCTTACAAGAGACTGGACAAAAAATCCGATGCGTCCCGCGAGGCTTGGGCCGAAATATCGCTCGATGGCGCAACGGCCGGCGTGCTCTTGCTGTTGAAAGCGAGCTTGAGCTTCTCGCGGCGCAGCTCCTTCTGCCGCTTCTTGTCGGCGACCGTGAGCTTGGCATGCTGCGCCTCGGCGTGGACCTCGGTCAAGTAGCTCTTCTCCTGCGAGTTGAGCGTCTTTTCCCACTGCGAGACGACAAAGCTGCCCACGCTCTTCGAGCCCTCGGTCGGTGGTGGCGGCGGCAACGAGGCCTCGTACTCGCGCTTGGTCACCTTCTTGGTCCGGCCAAACTCGTCGACAATCTCGACCCATTCGCCGTCGTCAGCTGCGGGCTTGGGCGCGGCCTCGGTGAATTCATGGTCCCGATGGGTCGTCTTGGCGTCAAAGTCGATGAGCACGTCGCCGGTCGCTGATCGCTCGCCGCGGGCCATTTGATCGTAGAGCTTGGCTTTCTCGATGAGTATCTGCCGAGACCGCTTCTTCTTGGCACGCTCGTCGTCGCCGAGGGCCTCTTCGTCTTCGTCGCGCTGCCGCCGCTTCTCGACGCCGGCGTTCGTCTCGGACTTCTTGCCGGCTTGGAGCTCCTTGGCCCGCGCACCGCGCTTCGAGCGCAGCCCCGAGGCCTCGGTGGCCGCCTTCTTGCGCTCCTGCTCGCGGAAGACGAGCGCCTTGAGGTCGACGATCGACTTGGAGTCGACCTTGATCGCCTTGGCCTTGGACGGGACGAGCGCCGACTCGGTGAGGAACCCGAGAGACATGGCAAATGGAAATTTGGCTGGAAACACCCAAATAACCCGACGCGTCCGCTTTAACCCAGTAAAACGCACCGTCGCCTCCGCAGACGAGTTTTCGGTGCAAGGAGCAAAAATGCACACAACGTCTTTAGTAAGGAATACTTTTATACAAAAATTAGCTTGTCGCTGGCGCGCCCGAGCTAGGACACTTGCTGCGCGTGGAAGCTGGGCAGAAACTCGGTGCAGAACCAGTCGGCGGCGGCGCTCACACTGGCGACGGTGGCAGTGGCAACGGGCGCCAGCGCAAAATCCTCCATCGGGCAGGGCACTTGGATCCCAATATCGTACATCGAGAAGTTGTCCGTCGTCACGTTGGCGGCCACGACACGGCTGGCGTCCACGGTACCAAGCATCGCGTCGTCCCCAAAACGCACGTCGCTCAAAAATGCACCGACGTCTTCGTCCGTGACCTCGTCCGTGGCCTCTGTCCACGTCGTGTACAGGTCGGGCGCCATCAACATTGGCATGGTTGGTGCTTGGTCCAGGTTTGTCGCTTTGTTGATCGCCGCCTCTTGGTCTCCGGTTGCCTCGGCCGGCTTCGACGTCAGCACAACTGCCGTCCCCTTCGCCTCCATAGCCGCCCACTTGAACGCAGCTTGCCTGTAGCTACAACACAGGCTGAGAATCCCGCGCGTCCCTCGTTGAAGATACTACCTCCGAGTGCCCACGATGCGGGCGACGAGGAGCCACCGGCCGTGGTGGGGCACGTGTTGCGTGATGTACATCGCGTAGCAAAGCCAGGCCGCTTCGAGCTCGCTCCAGCGACCCTTTTTCCCCGCTCGCAGGCTATGAAAGCGTTGACGGCAGTCGTGGGGATCGCGGCCCGGCAACAGCTTGGCGACCTCGGTCCATGTCGCTGTTTTCGTGTCCGTGAGCATGACAATCAAGTCCTAGACACGAAACAGGCGTTGCGGCAAGGGACGACCCGGCGGAAGACCTAGTACCTCGGTCGCCGTCCACGTGCGCTTTCCGTTCTTCTTCTTCGGCTTGAAGGAGCCCTTCTTGGCATGTTTCTTGGAGGGTCTCTTGCTCGTCATCGCAAAAGTCGTCGAACGCGCAGCCATGCTTGTCGTCACTCGTCTGCTCGGGGCCGGGTGAATTGGTGAATGATAGAAAACGCCAACAAGCAGCGTTCACAAAACGCGGGCAGCTCGTCTTTAACTCAATATATCAACTCGTGATTACAAAAAGCACGTTTAATTCCAACAGCTTCAGCTGAATTGCCGAACAGTATCAACCTCCGAGCCAATCGAACGACATGTGGCAACCTGCGGCTGCGCTGCTTTTGATACCTTCAAGACTTTTGGCTACAAATCACCCAATGGTTACCAACGAGACCAGATCAGTTTGATACAATTTCAAGACAGTTTCAAGTTGGCGACACACTCCCATCTTGGATGTGCTTGACCTTCCTCGCAGCTCTACGCTTGCACGATGCGACCGCTTGCTTGGCTTCGTACGCCACGCCGCTTTGAGGAGCGTCCCCTCTTCTTCCGCAAGTGCCATCAGTCGTTGCCACCGTGGTCTTCACCAGGCTTCTCATGTCCGAATTTCGACGCGGCCACATCCTATTTTGTGCTTCAATTAGGACTCTACACACCCCTCCCATTAATTGGTCCAGGACGTGCTCGGCCATGTACGCGACTGTTGCGTCGCGGGACCGGCGGCCAGCCAGCCGCCCGGCCATGATCATGAACATCCCGATCAAGGGCAAGAAGCAGACCAAGAGCCAGCGCAAGGCCGCGGCCAAGGCGCAGACGGAAGCGGCGCCGCAGATCGTCCAGTGGGTCGAAGAGCGCCTCGACGACCACGTGTGGCGGCTCATCTTTGAGTGCATGGACGTCGCGTCGCTC